TAATAATAATAATAATAATAATAATAATAATAATAATAATAATAATAATAATAATAATAATAATAATAATAATAATAATAATAATAATAATAATAATAATGGTGATCACTACCTTGTTCAACTTTCATAAGGATCTTCATGGCTTTTGTCTGGCATACACCTCCCTCTTGGTTATCCAAGCCTTCAAGGGATCCATTGGATGTTGCTGATTGGAAAAAGAAAAAAAAAAGAAACCAAATGAAAGTTTTCAGGATATTAACAGGTACAGCCACACACACAAAACAGTAGTTGAAAACAGGTGTCACTTGTCCAAATTTACTTCTGTTGTTCAGGTTTATCCAGAAAAAGCCAGGAAATACTGGCAATTAAGAGAACAAACAAACATCCAATACAGGCTGTGTTTTTAGTTTCTAATTCATCCAGGTGCCTTTTTCCATAGCTGTCAACTGACTTATTATGCCAATGTTTGCTCTCCACACCCACCTCCACTCCCTTGAAAAAATGAGTTGGTTCAGAAAGAAGTTTGCCAAGTTCAGCAAAACAAGGAAGTTTAGTTTTTAATTTTTTTATTGAACTGAAATTCCACAGATCCAGTATTTTTAAATTGCGAAAAAATGTGAATATCTTTGTTTTACAGTTTGTAATAGTTCATTTATACATTCCAGTGCTTGCCTTTATATAATAGCAGGGTAATATATGATATGAATTAAAGTCTAACATCTATTTAGCTTTGTATCTTCAAGGAGGCAGGTAAGTTCTGCCTCCTTTTACTTGAAAAACAGTAAAAAGGGCATCAGAGATAAAACTTATGTTTTTTAAAAAAAAATACATAATAATTCAAATAATCATTTCACCTCATTTCTAATTCCTTAGCTACTTTACCTTAATGAATCCTTTATCTACATTTATCTAGTGATATATTCCAAACATAACTGAAGAGGGACAATTTTTCCTTAAAAATGGAATCACATAGCTTGGCAAAAGTCTCACTGCGACAATCGTATTCTTTCAGCTTACCACTCTCTTCACACAGCTCAAAAAGCATGCTCTAAAAATACTGATTATGCAAATCAGTTGAGAGCCAAACACAAGAAAAGTGTCCCTCAGAAAATTGCCAATAGAACAGAACAGGTGAAAATTCCTGCCATGTTATTGATTGGAAGACCACGAGGGGTAGGATGGAATTGGCAGGCTACCACTCTAATTCACAATGTTTACTACAGAAATCATCCAGAAATAGTCTTGCAAATTGTCCGTCTTGATTTACAGAAGTAAAATTGCTAATTTATTGCATATCCATGCCAAATGGCTGATCTTCATTTCTAAAGGAATCGTCCCTTCACACACACACACACACACACACGGAGGGTTCTTCAGCCTTTCACAGCACATATGCTACATCTGGCCACTTACTCAAAGTATGAAAGAAAAGGAATAAGGGAAGGCCATGAAAATACTTGTAGGGTTTCCCATGGAGAAAAAGTAATTAAATGAGACTTCTGGCACTAAGCAGAATCTCCCTTTCATCTAATTTAGATAGGGCCCCATAAGTCGTCTTTTTCTTTAGGTCCTTTAGTTATCCCACATTTTTCCTGGGGGATTTCTTTTCTTAAAATGTACCTTATATATATTTCCCGTTTCCTTCATATGCCTGGAGTCTTTCACTAGGTCTTCCCAGCCCCATGTTGATATTTTTCTTTCTCTAATCTTCTCACTAGCTGCAAAATCTATGAACTTTTTCTCTGCCTTTGATCTACTTCTTGCTTTTGTTCTACTTCTCCCTCCTTGTGGGTGTAACATAATTCCTCCCTACATGAACTTCCCTTTCTTGCAGCTCCGTCTCCTATTTTTCTGGATTCTGAAGTACATTTTGTTTTTGGTGTTAGAGACTAACAAAATTTCACCTCTTCATTTTCTAACTTCTGCTGTACATTTTTAAATGAGTAACTCGGGAGAAAACAGATCTGATTTGTTACATTCGCACTGCTAGAAAATAATGGAGATATATAGTTTTGTTTTGCTGAAATCTTTTTCTTCCCCCAGAGAAAAGAAAATCAATACTAAGAACCAGTTTTGGACATAAATCAAATGCATCTTTTGCTGTGTTTTTATGACCTTTTGGTTTTTGCCTTTGTGCCCATACGGTTGACAGAAATAATAAAATTAAACTCCAGTAGACAGCATAGTTAATAAACTGTGACTTGTTCTTACTAATGCCAAGATGCAGGAATTCGCTTTTTTAAAAACCTACCTTTCTCTGATTAAAATGTCATGCTGATTTTCAAAAAGAAAAGTTATGGCTTGTTATAACTAAGATGCACCTCTAATCATGTAAACAATCCAGCGTTTTATTCTCAAAAAAGAACAAAACAAAACCCCTGAAAAGTAGTATTGCCAAATAAATATATACTATTATGTACTTGCTTTCCTTAAGGAACTGAACCTGCCTTGGCTTGAAGCTGGTTTTGCAAAAATGCTCATGTTACATTTATAATTTAGTGTAGTCTGAAAGAGTTATGAATACTTGGTAAATGATTTTGCAATAAAAAGTATCAGAATTCTTTACTGTGGGAGCTAGTACCGTGTTTCTCACAAAATAAAGCCGGGCCTTATTTTTTTTTGACCCCCGAAAAAACGGCTAGGCCGTCTTTTCAGGGGTGACTTAATTTCCTCCCCCACCTAGAGCAGCCCATACGCACGTACCTCGCCACGAGGCTGCTTCTATTGGCCGACAAAAGCTCCCCGAAGGCAGAGTCACCAGCTGCTACAGGGCATAGCGTGGCTGCTTATGTCCCCTCACCATTAGGCAGTTTCTTTCGGGTGATGGAAACTCCCCAAGTGCCACGGCTGATAGTGCCACGGCTGATAGAAGCGGCCTCACGACAAGGGGAGTTTGTGTGTGCGCTCACCCCGAGGCCGCTTCTACCGGCCAATCAAAGTGGCTGGTGACTGCACTTGGGGAGCTTCCATCGCCCGAAAGAGACTGCCTAAAGGTGAGGGGACACGGGCAGCCACGCCATGCCCTGAAGTGGCTGGGTACTCTGCCTTCGGGGAGGCTTTCATTGGCCAATAGAAGCGGCCTCGCGGCGAGGGGAGTGTGTGTGTGTGTGCGCTCGCCCCAAGGCCGCTTCTAACAGCCGATTGAAGTGGCTGGTGACTGCTTGGGAAGCTTCCATCACCCAAAAGAGACTGCCTAAAGGCAAGGGGACACAGGCAGCCATGCCACACCCTGAAGTGGTTGGGGACTCTGCCTTCGGGGAGCTTCTATCGGCTGATGTTCTATCGGTAGATCAGGGTATTCTAGCCTAGGCTACCTGCAGGGCACTCCTAAAGGCAAGTTTTCTCCCCCCCCCCCCGCCCTTCCCTCCCATTTCTCTTCACCTCGTGTAGTTCTAACGGATGATGTGAGAAATGGCGGGGAAACGCATGGTTTAAATAGGCCTAAATTTTGGGCGTGGGGCTTAATTTCACCTCACGCCTAGAAATCATGCTGGGCCTTCCTATTGGTGGAGGCCGTATTGTTGGAGAAACACGGTAGCTCCTTTCAGAGTCAATTTTAATATGTCTAAATAACCAAGTATCTTCCTGTACTTTCTGAACTGCCTAATGTATTCTGTGTATGTGTGTGCATTCGTGCATGCATGTGACATGTTTATAACAAAGGAATGCCAATGCTTAGTTAATTCTGTTAGAACATTTGCATAATAGAACACACAAGTTTTCACCAGGCTATTATAGTCCTCAGCTTTTACGCTTCCTTTAAATATATTTCAAATTCATATAAAGATCCAAAAACACAAACTAAGCCTCAGCTCCAGTGCAACTACAAGTCAATGTGGTAACCTTGACTGATTGTTCTTTTCATCCTTAGTTCCTGTCTTGAAGGCTGAGGAGAGAAATGAGCCAGACCATACAAGAGCTCAATTTCTGCTATGCTCCTGACAGTACCCACTAGACACTACCTACATTCAAAGTGTGACCCTCATCCACCATATAAGCGATACAATGGATTGCTGAAGGCCATATAATCAGAACACAGCAAAAGCGTACTATAATAAAAAAAATAGGTGGCTAGCTACTTACTGGCAACTTGATAGGAAATCAAATAGTTGTGCACACTTGCAAATTAAAAAAAAACCTCTAGGTTGCCAAATTAGCTAAATTTACTATTCTGTTATGTCCAAAAACATTTGCAGTTTACAGCTCAGCAGTAAGGTTTTTGATAACCATACTTAAAACCACAGCACAAGCATTTAGATAGGCTGCTCCCATTTTTTAAAAGATTATCTGTATTTCAGTCAAACTTGCTATAGAGAGAAACATAAAAACCGGGAGCATATTTTGAATGCCTCTATATAAATGTTTATACACAGTGATTTCTGCATTTTTAAACAGGTTTTCTAGTTTTCTATTATTTGACTTAGTACTACATAGCATGTGTTCAACAAAGTGAGAAAGCCGAATATTTTCTAGGATATCTTGGCATATAGAATACAACCTAGAAATTACTATTTTATTATTAGTATGATTTGAAGCAGAAAGTATTTTTCTCATATTTGAGATAGAAATAAATTAGTAATGTTAGAAAATGTATAAACTGCAAAATACCAACCATATATTTCTGCTATAGAAGCACAGTGTGTCTATAAGCTATATTGGCATATTCAAATGTAAATTTGTTTCCATCACAGAGATATTATTTATATGATCCCACTTATTTGGTAAATGTAAAGGATTTTTTTTTTTAAAAAAAAAGCATGGCTACAGCAATAAAAAATTAAGAGCTGTGCAAGGCATTTGAAATGGGTATGTCTCAAAGAATAGGAGTGTAGGAAAGCATGCCTGTTCAAATCAACACAACACATCCTTAGGAAGGTTCAGCATTACAGCTTTGAAGGGCTTTCCCACAAGTATTCATTTGTGCAAATGCACACGCTGCTTTCCTGCCTGTCTTCCCACGCACAAACAATAGTTCTGCTGGTATTGCCAGTGAAACAAAGTGGCTGGCCATATGGATACAAGTACAGCAGAGACAAGGTTTTCGAAGAATCTAGCTGCTTTAACGCTTCCGGGAATAATGTTTTAGTCAAGCCCACTGTGTTTTGAAAACTCAAAATTGCCCCTTTTCAAACTTTAATCAGTCAATATAAAAGATGCTTCCTAGATTTTGTGCAGGTGTGCACATGCACATCTTTGAGTCAGTGT